AACTCGTGGTTAAAAGTGACATTTCGAAAGTTATTTTCTATGTTCGAAAATCCCCGTGCTGTCGATCGACCGGTTTTCGAGCCACGGTTGTCAAAATTTAACTTCTTGTCTGTCAGAAATAACCATGCTCGGATAGCAGGGTTAATCGATAACTTTTCATCTGTCAAATTTTAACCAAAAGTTAAAATAATCCACCAAATGGTTCAGAGCCTAATTCTTCCTCCGGCACCTGGGCCCATAACCTGATGGACCAACAGGACAGCAGAGACACGCAGAACGCGACCGAAGCAAAGAAAAAGGAACCACTCGAGAATAACTTGCGGATAACTCGGAGAAAACAGAAAAACACGAGTTCACTTTAATGATTGAAACGGAAATAGAAAACAGTGTTGTCAACAATATTGAATTTAACTCTACACACTTATATCTCTTCGGGGGGTGATTCGCTGTACTCATCTCACTCCTACAAGCCTTAGCACGAACCGCTACGCCATCTGAGGTTTATTAAAGTGAGCTGTTGTCCCGCCTACTGTTGGAGTTTTTATTGTCAGCTGACTGACTTGAATACGAAACACAACACCTTGATGAATTTTAAATTGGTTTTTGCCCGCATGGTATTCCAACACACTTGTGACACAGTGGTTAGCGTTCGTAGATCGCATGCCAGATACACGGGTTCGAATCCAGGAAATTGCTCTTTATTTTTTTATGTTTGGATGGAATATTGATGCACTGCATAAATATAAGAATTATGATTTATTTGAGCCACTGATCATTTCATATTTACGTACATTAATTTTTGTTCCAAAACAAAACTTGTCTGGATTGCTTCATGTGGGCTATGACGGATCTTTTTAGAAACTTTCAGGTTACTAAGAAGTTCCACAGGGAACTTTTAAGATACTTTAAAGTTGCTAGGAAGTTCCGCTGGGAACTTGTTAGGAACTTTGTTGTGGGCATGTTTTCAGCTTTGCCAGAAGTTTCTTAAGAAGTGCTTATTAGGGATGCTTTTTGGAACATTTTTTTAGCTTCAAGAGCCTGAGGTTCCTCGTATGCTTTCTATAGGTTCTAAAGTAGCCAGAAAGATGTGTTGGAACTTTATATGCACTTTATGGAACTTGAAAGTGGATTTTATCGTTGAATGGGGAACTTTTGGTTGCTTGGGAAGAAAGTTCTGTCGGAACTTTATTTGACTTCAATGGAACATGAACCACGGTAACCAAAAAATTCCGCATTCAACGATGAAACTCACTTCCAAGCTCCACAAAGTTCAAATAAAGTTGCGACAGAACCTTCAAATTCCATAAAGTTCGAATAAAGTTCTGACTGAACTTTCAAGTTCCATAAAGTTCGGTCAGAACTTTATTCAAACTTTATGGAATTTGAAGGTTCTGTCGCAACTTTATTTGAACTTTATGGAACTTGGAAGTGAGTTTTATCGTTGAATGCGGAATTTTTGGGTACTTGGGAAGTGCTCATCGTTGAGAAACATCAACGAATGATCTCAAACCAAAATTGTTGCAACTTTAAAACTTGAATAATACAAATACAGTTACAAATACAGTGTCGTTCCCAATTATTGCGTTTAAAATGCCATATGATTCAGACTTATACTTGATCACTTTTTCAGGACGCAAAGATGTACCATTGATTTTTAAATGCTTAATGTGTCTGACATTGTCAGGTAGATCAAATAGAATCAAATGAAAATCTAAAGAGGTTTTCTTCACAATCACTGCAGACACAACAGTAACTTTATCAGTTTCGTAAATATGATGTAAAATTGAGTTGATTTGCTTAAGATTAATTCTGCTTGTCAAACTTAATGTGATGTTTTTGAAAATTCCAAAAGTTTTTGAATGCGCTTTCGATATCTTAAAGTTAACCTAAAACTGAAGACAGTTCAGGACCATTATTTCCCACGATTTTAGGATAGTGAGCGATGTGGTGAACTTTGTTAGTTGGCCTGATGTTGGCCTAGAACTAGAATGAAAATTACAGATTGCACTTTCTGAAATCTTCGATCATTTCTCTTGACAGTGAGTTTGAAAACGAATAGAATGTATTTTTATTTTAAAAGGTCAGTGAAAAGGAAAGGGGTCGCACGGAGTAAAAACCAGGTTTGCGAGGCAGATTGAGATAACGCATGTCCAGACTTTGTCAAGCTCTCAGCAGAAAAGCTACCACATGGTTTATCCCTACTCTCCGCAATACCATAATCGAAGCAAATTATTCTCGCATTCAGCTCATGTTCAGATACGGATTTCGAAACATTGACAAGAAAAATTGTAAATTTGCTCGAGGACCAGAGGGACTATACCTTCCAACACATCGTGCATGGGATCGGAAGAAATGTTCTCTGAAATATGAAAATATTTCAATGAACTGAAAACATTTTCTCGAATGATTCCACATATTGCCGATGTAGTCGAACCATTTTTAATAGCGGCCAGATCAAGCTAATAGCTTTCACGAGCTCTAGGCGTATCTTCGTTTCGAAATTGTTCGTTGTGAAGGTCTTGTCGTGCTATGTAGCAAGCTCTACAGAACATTTTTGATTAGGGAGGCATTACACGCAGTAGCTCATGGATGGCGGCAGTATCACCCAGAATATGAATCAAAGTAGCTCGCGAAGTATAATTTTGACGGTTTACCTTCACTTGGACACCTTGGTTGGATTGCAAGGACATTAAATCTTTAATCAGTGGTTCGAAATTTTTTTCGATCCCGTACTTTTTAACCAGCTTAGTTTTAACCATTACGCATACATATGCGTGGTTCACTGAACTGTTGATTTTATCGTCAAGATTTTGAATTTTAAATGAAAAAATAGCAAGTTTTTGTTCCCCTTTCCGTAAACCGAGGGGGTTACAGGTTTCAATATCATCAACATACAAAGATATGCGAAGAGCAGTGCTGCGATTTGTCATTCTCATTGACAGACTTTCGCGCGATATTGACAAAATTGTTCGTCACATAGTCACTGACAGACTTGATCCTCAAAAAAACCTTCGTCAAAATCTCATTCATTTTTTCGTCAATGACAAAGATTCACCTGGTAACAAAAAGTGTAATTTAGTACATTCTGTGTCACATTATTGTTATCCAAGTAGCTCAGGACATAGATACTTGTTCACTGAAATGGATCCATGTAATTGTTTTGCTCATGTCATTTAATTTCGTTACAAATTCAGCTAATGTTCGTCACTGACACCATTGTCATTGACAATTGACATGGTTTGCCTTGACTATGACAGTTTGCTCAAATGAGTGACCAAAGCAGAATTGTCAATATCACCGTGTACTGTCGAGATTTTGCAGCACTGGCGAAGAGTAAATGAATATTTTTGGAGAAAATCATTGGCATCGAATAGAGAACCATCCTTGAAACTATTGAGCACGTTGCTGTCTGCTTTTTGTTCACTCGTAACCATTCTTCTAGCATCTAAATTTTTCATTATAAGGGAAATTGTCTCCTTCACCGAAATATAATGCATGGTATCTTCCACTGTACTTGTCTTCTTGACAGATCGGACTGTTTTATTGGCCCTCTTGTCGGTATATCGTTGATAGCAAGTGGTTCTAACAATCTTCCGAGATCCTAGCAGAATTTCTTCAGGTTTCGGAACGCTACATCGAGCAGTTTCAGAAAGAAAACTTACATCATACATTCATCTGAGTACATATCTGGAATCGCCATTGAACTACAGTATCGTCTACAGCCAGATTTTTAGCTCTTAGAAATTTCTTTAAGATGCTGAAAACAAAACGCTGATAGATGATATGGAATGTTCCATAAATAACTTCATTTTGGTTTCAGTAAGTGAAACATCTGATCGAACTGCAGTGATGAAAGCTGAAGCGATTCCCATCAGCCCTTCTCGTGAAATTGATTCCGTAAAATAATAAGGATTCGTTATTCCTTCCTACGTCTTCAGATGCCGTTTCCATTGCTTCCGGAGGATTAGTGAACTCCACTTTTGGCGGTGTGAGGGGCTGATGGCGGTTCACTATGTGGCCTTTGAGCCGTTTGAAGCACTTACAAATAGTACTACAATCGCCACACCGAAAAGGGACTGCATTCTTCGAGCTGGCGTTCTCAATTGTTGTACATAACCTGATACGCGTAAATTGCATCCAGCCACAGGGCAGGGGAGACCTTTTTTTTTGTTAAAATTTGCTTGACAATAAAAGTAAATGCTTTAATTACCTGCCAGTGTTGTGAATACGTCCTATTCCAAAGTATTTGATAATTCCTCCATTTTCCGCTGACACTTTTACAGAAATAATCCGGGACCGGGAACTGATTAAAAACGCTGCTTTTCCAATGAAAACTGTTTTGAAAATTTCGGCACTACTTTTTACACATTTTTGTTCGTCGTTGACATACTCGGAAATGCATAAAAAGTACTCTTCATTTGTAGCTAAAATCTAAACATTTTTTGACGTATAAACCATATTCTCGAAAATGTGTAAAACATAGTCATAAAAGGAGGATTCTAGAATTACCGTGTAGCCTTCTACAGTAAACGTGATTAACCAAGTAACGACAGTTTTGGGCTTGAATTCCACCCTGTACATGCATCTCGAATGATTCACAAATTACAACGAAATGGACTTTTCTCTAGTTTCAAACACGTAAAATTGCAAAGTCGTATTTTAACCTGTTAAAGTTCTTACTTATCTTACTTACCTTACTTATCTAACAAGCTGAAAAGCTCCAATTAACAGAGCACAATATTCGTAAAAATCCAACTAGATTGACAGCATTTTAGAACTAATAGTCTCCGTTTTCCCTCCTCGCCTGAAATTACTCTTTCAAATTTCACCACAAAAACCGGCTCTTTGATAGTGGTGAGTTCCGCTACTGTCAAAAATGAAGGGCATATGCAGCGAACGAACGTCATCTTAAGGCTGGTATTAGGTAGGTAGTCACTCATTATGGACTGACGGGGTAAGAACAAAAAACAAGAATCTTTCTTTTCGAACGAGAAAATCAAAACAGAAGTGGCGTTTTTGTTTTGACGATCAGCCTGAAATTTGTCTGCTTCTTAAGTGATCGTCGTCGAAGTGATTAGTCATTCGCGAACTATCGGCATCGTGTGGATGCTTTCACTGCAATGGATTGCACCAGAATCATTGCACGTTGAGCCTACATCGTAGTTGAGTCGCCATTCCGAAGTAGGGGTTGCGTTTCAGTTTTGATTGTTTAACCATTTGCCAAAGATTGCCTAAGACTAGGCTAGATTTGCTAATCAGTAATGTCCAAACTTTATTTGCTTCCAATTTCGGTGTTTTTGCTGTTCAATTTCACCTTCATCGGCACGTAAGTACTTTCGGGTGGATATGCTGTTTCATCCGATGCCTGTGTGATGAATCATTCGATGTTATGGCTACTCGCTGGTGATAACTTTTTGTGCTTGTAGGTACATAGCAGCAGTCCTGCAGGGCCATGTGGTGCCCACGATTCCGTATATTAGCGATGCGGCGACCTATTCTCCGGAGAGTTGCGTGTTTGGGCAATTGATCAGTATAGGGTGTGTACTGCGTAAGTTTCTATGCGGTGGATGGGTTGAGTATGTGATTTGAAATGAAACTGAGTTTCTATTTGTAGTGGGAATCACCATCTATGTTCGCTATCGCCAAATCCAGGAAATTGGTCTGAGGCATACGGATGTTCAGCGGGCTGCTGAACGGATCAATGGGAGAGCTTTCTGGGTCGGAATGGGATCTTGCTTGGGAGTTAGCATGGTGGGGAATTTTCAGGAGACAAATGTGAGGATAGTGCACTATGTTGGGGCATTTTTGGCGTTCGGGTTGGGCACTGTGTACTACTGGATGCAGGTGAGGATAGTTCGCTTGCAGATCGTAAACGGGCCAATAAACTGTCGTGTTCTATTCGACTTAATTCTTCTTCAACTTATAGGCCTACATATCGTACTACCTACAACCGTACATCGGTTCCATGGTTAAGGCCCACGTTCGGCTTGCGATCTCGGTGGTGTGTACCATTTTCTTCATCCTCGTTGCCGTAACGGGCATCATCTCGCATATCCTATTCAATGGCACCGATCCACGTAAGTGGTATCCTTCGGATGGTGGTTGGGAGTTCCACGTGGCCAGTTCGATCTCAGAGTGGATCGTCGCAACGGCGTTCTGCTTCTACATTCTCACCTTTACGGATGAATTCCGAATGATGCAACTTGAGCATCCACCTGTAAGTTCCCAATGAGCATTCCAAGTTTTATCGAGGTTTTAAAAGCATTCTTCTAGTTTTAATCATGGTCTACAAGTGTGATTAAACCGAAATTATTACTTGGGTTGCTTCCCCTTCCACGAGAACTAATGATGTCACCCTCATTGCAGCTCTTATTCATCGAAGTGGACGAGACCCGCGACTACGAACCGGTGATAAACGAACCCATTATCAACGACCCTCCCAACGCCGACTCGTGATGTGATTCGTCAACTCCGCTCATCATCGGTAGACCAAATCCCGCGTCTCTCATCCAAAAAGTATCCAAATTGAATAGCACCTTTCGTAAGCAGCGTTCCCTGAGCCTAAATGATTTGCATCAGGCGCAGCTGGCACACTCGAATGTGGAACAGATCTGTGACAGTTTCAACTGCATCATCAACATCAAGAGTTCGTTCAGCAGTCAGATCCTGTCGGAAAGCGGCCTACTCGAATTGCACGAGAGCCTCCGGACGGAATCCGGTCTGGATTGCTGCTCGTCGGAGCTGGAACTCTTCGAAATGGTTCGCGACAAGATGGATCCGAGGAAGATTGCATCCCTTTCGCTGTCCCTGATGCTGGTCGCCATTCTGGAAGCGCTGCACACGTTGACCGTATATTTTAGTGACAATTTCAAGCATAGTTATCTTTAGGTTATATGATACATCACCCGCCCCTTCGTAAAAGTGATATTCTTATTCTTCGATCATTGTTTGTTTTAGGCGCAATAAGGCTTGATTATAAATTTAATTGAAATTGCAATGTAAGGCACTCTATGAACTGAGATGTAGAAAGTTGATGAAAATACATTTAGAGTGTACCAAACTAGGTTCATCGCATTCACTTCGGCTTCGAAATCAGCGTTGGTGGAGTTCACCACCCTCGGATTGTGGTGAGTTTTGTGAATCAAAACAAAACACAAACAGAAATGAACTGCCTGTACACTGTGATGCATTGATATCTTCGCGACCACGACGAAGACGACGCGGTCCTTTGCGCATGACAAAATCACACCTGACTGGTGCGCACTTCATCGGTCAGTGTGGCTTAAGCTATTGATGATAGACGGTGGTCGTTGTTTGGTTCGGTCTTTCGCTTGATTTCGCATTGTGCATCAATCAATTAGTGTGCGGTTCGGTTGTGATAAGTGATTTGCACGTGACTTACAGTGATATTCTTTACTTAAAAATCCTTAGAAGGTAAGTGATCGAACTTATTAAATTCTGGTGCAAAACTGGCTCCAAACTCAAGAGCTAGAATGGAATTCGAATATTTTTGCCAAAAAATTTCGCCTCAATGGATCCGAAACAGGTTTTAAGATGATTTGACGCAATCACGTTTGGGGTTATTCGATACTTCTAACCGATAATATAAAATTCATGATTAATTACGTAAGCGAATAGTCGATGATGTTTATGGTTATGGCCATCGCTGCTGTAAATTGGACGGGTTGGTTCTTGTGGAAGATAAGAAAATGTGAATCGCGCCGTATTTAAGCAGTTGGGAAAGAGAGTGAGATGAAGGGCTTGCGGTAATGGGGAAGGCAAAATGAATTTTTTTCCCTCTTGAGTGAATGTGCGAATTGGTTTATTTTTGAAATGAAGTTCAAGTGTGTGTTGTGTGAAGAGCGAATGTTTATCTCCCAAGATATTGAAATGGTTTGCACAACGATCAGTGGTAGAAAAGCTACCGATACTTGCGCCAGTCAAACAATCAGTGAAACGAAACGTAAACATAGCTATCAGTAATATGTGTTCAGGTTCATTTTCAGGTTTTTATCCAATCCAAAAGCACTAACGATAACGTTTTTCAATACCGGAAAATTACTTATAGCGAATTTGTTTATTATCGGGGTTGGAACCAGTTCCAACCCAGTGCGAAACCGAACTTTTTGTCAGTGCGAACCTCAACCTGAGCTAGGTTTTAAAAACAAACGATCAAACTGACGTTTGCAAGAAAACAAGCAGACCCGATCTTGATACCCGATCCAGGTTGGAACTGAATAATAAACAAATTCGCTATTAGAGCAACTGTCTCAATGAGGCAATAAGGCACATTTACCAACCTCTACCATAACGCTACACTGAACGAAAACACCCGCAATACTTCGAATGATTATTGTATTGCTCGAGCCCTTTAACAATATGCATTCGAATTTCGGATGATTTTCTTATGGTTGAATTCGTCGTGAGATGATGAACATCCATATGACTGTCATCCAAATACAGGATGATTTTCGTTTGAAAATTAGCTTTAAAACATACGGCACTCAGAGGACAAACATTGAAGAATAGTGTGACATGCAAGTGCTTTTAATTAGATTTATAATTTGATTATCTACAATTCCATACTGAATGGCCATAATAAGCCATCATAGATACAAAAAAAATCGTGGTAGAGAAAATCTCCTCTCCCACGAATTAGCCAAACATTGGTTTTCATCCTTTACCTTTGTTCGTAAAAGCTCTGATAGCGATGCATATGCTTCCATCTCGTTTGTCAGCTCAGATCAGCAAATGACGTTCGATAGAATTATTTACATCATCGTTTTGAATGATTTGCGTTATGGGGCTGAACCAATACCATATGCATTTCCATTTAGTATGACAGTCATTCTACAGAGAGCATTACGCATTTCAACTGAAGGCCCTATCCCTTCTCATAACAAGTTTCATCCAGTATTCGAGAGGAAAATCATTTGATTTCAAAAAAGCCGTCATCCGGTTGCAGCTATCATTCGAAAAAGCGATTTCGGTCTTTTGTTTTGAATGGTCTGAGGTTTCATTCGATCAGAGGATGATGTTTGTGTACAGTGTAGTTAGTTCATAAGTTTAGCAACCCGGTAGCAACGCAACAGACGGTTGCTATTATGAATAAACGTCAAAAGTTTGTTTTGCCGGTGTGGAAAACGGTAACTTAAATTATGACTCTGATAGCAACGGGCGGTGTGGAGAGTAGTGATTAAGCCAAAATGGAAACGCTGTGCGTAAGTAAAATAGTGCCGCAAATGGCAACGACTGGTACGGTTGCTCTTACGCGAAAAAAACGAAAAATTCTGACAGCTCGCGGGCAGAGCCTACTATACACTCAAAAAATTCCACACGTCATCATCATGTATCTCACACTTAATTTTGCGCTTATTGTGAAACACATCCATTTCATGTGTGAATTTTAAACACTAAGATTTTGTTTCCGTGTTCGGTAAATTTTACCGAAATCAGAACAGATGAACGTTTGGTAAAACTTTGACCTTCATTTTAAAGGCTATTGAATTTGAAAATAATATTAAAACATGTTCAACCTTGTTTAAATGATCAAATCTTGTCATTTTAGTGAAGATTTGGTTTCAGAGTAGCTGAAAAGCAATTGAATTGAATTACATAAATTTTACCGAAAAGTTCAGCTGTTCAGTTTTCGGTAAAAACTACCGAAGTCGGCGATAATTTCTAAGTGTGTTTGCTTTGAATCATGCCTGAACACTATGGATTTGAATTGTGACACTTTTGGATTCTATGTGCCTCATTTGGTGATATCAATAGTGGCTACAAATCATGGCCTACCAGGCAACATATTCTTCTGATGTGTACGCCGATGGTACATCTCCCTTTTTTTTCCAAAAGAGATCGTAGAACGTCTGGAGATGCTGGAATGTTATCATGGTTTCCCCTTCGGTGAGTTTCTTCAGTCCCTTAAGAGGTCGACAAAGCGTTCAGCTTGCCCATTCGATTGCGGGTGGTAAGGGGCTGTCGTCAGGTGGTGGATCCAATTTTCTTCACAGAATTGCTTGAATCGAGCATAACAAACTGGGTACCGTTGTCCGAAACAAGGGTGTGTGGGTTGCCTTACCTTGTTTCTTGCAGAATTTCCAATGTCGCTGTAGTAGTTGTACTGCGGGACCTGAAGATTTCCGACCACTTCGAATAGACGTCCACCACGACGAGGTAGTAATAGCCATCAACTGGACCTGCGTAGTCGATGTGGATCCTCTCCCACGGTTTCGTTAGTATCGGCCACGATTCAAGGGTAGTCTTACGGGGCCGATTTTTCTGCAACAGCACAGGGGCGACACTGGCGCACAAACGTTTCAACATCGTCGTCGATGTTGGGCCAGTAAACGAAACTTCTTGCGAGGGACTTCATTCGGTCTAGTTGTCGGAAGATGCGCTTGCAGAATCGTTCTGGACCTACAACTCTGTCAGCGAACATGACGCAGTCTTGGGTGACCTGGAGGCTCTCTCGTCGGGAATAGAACTGACGAACAGCTGTATCTGGTAGCTCGCTTACAGTGTTTGACCAGCCATTGCGGATGCAGTTGATTACCTCTTGTAGGACCGGGTCGTCTTGCGTTTCCCCCGTTTGGAGAGCAGCAATCACGTATACTTCGTCTGGTTTGCTGTGACAGCTCATCAAGCGGGACAACACGTCGACATGTCCAAAACTAGCCGTTGGGATGAACTGGATGTCGAAATCATACAGCAGCATCGTTAGCGCCCAACGCTGAAGACGATTGGCGGTGTAAACGGGAATGCCGTTCTTGCTGCCGAAAATTTTAAGGAGCGGTTTGTGGTCGGTCTGCAGCACGAATTTTCGTTCGAATATCATCTTGTGAGAACGGGTGACAGCAAATACCAACGCGAGCGCTTCCTTCTCAATTTGACGATATTGACATAAAGCTGGGTTTAGACTAGGCAAGTTAAATGATCAACTCAGTTGAACTCAATTGGCTTGAAAAGTTGAGCCTGGTTCAACTTTTTTTCAATTCAAGTGAGTTGATCAAGTCAGTTGAATGGCATGGTTTACACGTTCAATTCGCTTTCAAGTCAGTTGAATTCAACTGACTTGATCAATTGACTTGCCCTGTCTAAACCCAGCTTAATTTTGTTGTTGTTGAAAGGATTTTAACAGTAGAACCGGTCATTCATCCCCCATCGCTTAAATGTTTACTGTACAATTCACTGTGATTACAAATTCAATTCGATTTAAAGTTGATTCAGTAGATTAGTTGTTCTCAAAAATCTCACTAGTTTCTTCTCATTCTCTTCTTCGTTATCCAAGATCATGCCAATCGTTGATGCTAAGCCGCATTCTCTTCGCTGCACTTCGTAAGCTCTCTACAGTCCAGCAGTATATGTGGTACACTAAGGAGTTCTCCACATGTAACACAAGAGTTGTTGTCACGATTGAACAGATGTTGATGTGTTAACCTCGTGTGTCCGATGCGCAAACGACTAATGGCTCTTCTTGCAGAAGCAGTGTGTCTGTCTGTCCATTTTACAGTTGTTGCTTTCAAGGTCCTCAAAAATGTTGTACTGCTCCACCACTGATATTCCCATTTTTGTGCAATTTCAAATCTGCAGCTTCGTATAGCGTCCTCGCTAGGGATGCCAGAGAGGAAGAATTCATCATCCCCGTCTGCTTTTGCCAGTGCTTCCGCTCTTTCATTTCCGTGTATTCCCACATGGCCGGGAATCCAGCATAGCGCTATCGATTTTCCTTTTGCAGCCTTTTCTATTTCTTGTATCTAAGTATGTCGAGATTGACCCTTTTCTAACGCAGATAAGTCTGTAAAAACCACGGTCGCTGATGCATCAGTGCAGATTTTGACGATTGCAAACCAAATCGCCTTTGCTTCTGCGGAAAAGATAGAGCATTCTTTGGGTAACTTTTTACTGTAACCTGTGTTACCGACCGCTACACCGAAACCAACTTTATTGCAATCCACGGATCCGTCCGTGAATATGTACCGATAGGTGAAGTAGCTGTTTGAACACAACGAAAGAAACAGCTGTTGCACTTTGGCTGGTGGGTCTCCAACTTTGAAATGTGTTTTTATTGCCCAATCTATCTTTATTCCTGGGTCGTCCCATGCTCGTTCGCTGACCCTACACAACGCTGCAATCTGTGGAAAATCCTTTTCGGTAAGATTCTGGTACGCTGTTTTTGCTCTTTCAGTAGAGGGAAAACAGCTCGTGGCTTGTGTGTTGGTACATGGAAAGAGAAGATCGCACCTTTCAAGAAGCCGGATAGCTTTAGTTACCATATTAACGATTACGGTATGCTCAAAGGGTAGTTGCCCTGCTTCTGCCATGATGGAGTCCACCGGACTTGAACGGAATACGCCGGATGATCCTCTGATTCCGGAGTTGTAGAGAGGTTTTAACTGCTTCATGTTAACAACACTGCCGCTATTAACCATGCT